GCTAGGGAGCCTCTTCAGGCTCTTGGTTTCCTCAGCAGCCCCACTTCACACCCCTGGCCACTGTTCCCAGTATACAGCAGAACTTTCTCATGCCAGCGCAGAGATCTTCCACAGAGACCAGCGACCTGAGGGAGGCACTGCTGAAGACCTTCCCTGACCTTGAGCAAAAGCTGAAGATCAACCAGACCCTGGTAGCTCATCCATACATGAAAGACCTGAATGCCCTTTCTGCCCTGGTATTGAACTGAAGGCTGGGCTGAGAACTCACTGCTGATGGGGACCAGAGAGACCTGCCTACTGTGGAGTACCATAGCGAAAGAAACCTTCTAGAGTGTGCAGTGCTGCTCTGCTTATGAAAATAAAAGGATGTGTTTTATGTATACAAAAGTCTGGATTTTCAAAGCCAGCTTTTTTTCTATATATAAATTATGCTGCTATTACAGATTTAACATTTTCTGTAAAAGAAAAGTACATTTTCTGCCTGTTCAGAACTGTTTAATAGCAGTTACTTTTGAGTGTATTTACAACTTTATATTTTTAAAACTATTTTCCTTAAAACTGAAGAAAGATGAACAAATGAATATGGTTGACCTTTCTAAATAAAATTAAAAAATAAAAAAAGAAGTTGCTTCCTTAAGGTAAGCAAGCCCTCTTAAAGTATATTTTCTTGAGATGATCTGTTCTATTCACTAACTTGGTGTGTGCTCCCCTGCCTTCCTCCTTGAATCTGACCTGCTCCACTCTTCTGGGTCTTCTCAGCAGGCCACCTGTGAGAGTGGAGAAGTGGAGCCACTAGATGGCACTTGGTGCCTGGCTGTAGTCAGTGACAAGACAAAGTCAGACTCAGAAGAGGGTGACAAGTCTCAGTTCATTCAGTCCCATCCTTCTTTCTCACCGCTGGACAAAGAAGGGAACTGAGTTCCAGCATACTCCCTGATTGGCCGAGCTCCCTAAAGCCCTACCCAACTGAGGCCGCCATGTTCCCCACCTGATTTCACAGCTACTGTCACCTCAGAAGGTGAGTGAAGTAGGGTTGGAGAGTCTGCTGAGGAACTCCTTACTGTGATCAGCATGAGTCCACAGCCCAGAAATATGGGGAGGAACCCATGTGGAGTTTGTACAGCTTTGTCAAAAAGTTTTCTATTCTCAAGGATGACCCAAACCAATAAATAGCATTAGCAGTTTCAGAAGGGGTCTCAACGCCCCGCTGTTTCTCTATTTTGTCTTTTTAGAGGTCTCAAACTGCTCTTCCCGGGTGTTTTAGAACCAGTTATCTCAGTATCGTCTCTTCTCAGTGTAGCTTGAGTTCTGTCTCTGTGAAACATGTCCTAGTCATTCTTAGCATCTTGACTCTCACCTAGACCTTTACAGAGCTTTGTTTTCCATCCATGCTGTCTCTCAGCCCTCACAGTCAATTCCACTGCCCTGTGGATTGTGTCTTTCTCCTGGTCCATCAGTTAGTAACTGAGGACATGATGCTGGTCTGTTCTCTGTGGTGCAGGGACTATGTAGATCACAGGATGCTGTCACCATGTATGTATCTTGGTTTTATTTGATTAGGAGATGAATACAGAGATTTCTAGGTGGTCACACTTGTACTTCAGTCATGTTCTCCTGAATTCACTGATAATGCAACATGCTGGGGAGCTGTTTGTCATCTGTCACTTGGGCTTTTGAGACCTGCAGGCAGTGAAAGTAGAAAACAAAGACTTTGCAAGGTCCAGGAGTAGACCCACTACAGCCTTGTGCCCCAGCTTTGGAGCAGAGCAAAGATGCCAAGATGGAGCTGTCCCCAGGACCTCCTGGCCTTCTCAGTACCAGTCCAGCATTTCTGGGAACCAGGAGAGTGGGGGTGCTCTATAGAGCACAGTGGCCACATCCTGATGCTGACAGGTAGGAAGAAGCATGAGCATTTCAAGACTCTACAGGCAGGCTGACTTTGTGTTGTGTAAGTCTGTTGTTAGTATTGTTTCTGAGATACCTGCCTGTGTCCCCTTCCCCATATAGGAGGGAACAAAAGTTGGAGGAAATCAAGAGGTATTAATTACTGTGAAGATTACAATGTAAAATATGATTCTAGATTCTCTATGAAATTCATCACATTTAGGTGTAGCATTCAAAGCCCAAAGGTATAGTTATCCAACCACTGAAGGAACCTGCTTCTCTATCTCATCCCAAGATTTGTGGCTGCTAGGTGTTTGTAGATACTTAACCTCCATCCCTCAGTGCCTCCACAGTGAACTTGGGGTATCTTGGAATTCCTCCCTATGTGGACTGCCTCTGTCTCCTGTGTATCCTGACATTTGGGTGAGGTGGTCAGAATGGCTGAGGTTGATCATTTTGGTCATTGGTCAAGGTGTTTGATGCTTACAGAGGTTGAAGTTATAGTGTAGCTGATGGAATTCCAGCCACTGTGTGTGTGCATGTACTGCCATAGCTGTCCTGGTCCAGTGTGGTGGCACCATGTTTGGAAGACTCAACTATGTTACTGGGGCTTGCTGTGAGACAGGATGGAGATGTGTTTGCGCAGGCTTGTGAATATGTAAAGCAAGAAAGAGGATTCCACCCCTGCTTGCCACTGCCAACTACCTAGTCCCTCCCCCTGGTAGGGGCAACTGCTGCAGACCCTGTGCCCTCTGTACCATGCTCACCCAGGTCCTAGCCTGCCTCTCACATCTCTTCCAATGCTGCCCATGCTCAACATTCTGAGCCATCTCAGCTGGTCCATTAGTTGCACTGTTCACTGGCATTAGCACTTTTCTGTTACCTTTAATCCCTGAGGTTAAAACACCCTGCATTTTGTTGCTGATGCTTTAATCTACCTTTGTACATTTTCACTCCCCACTGTGCAAACTTGGCTTCTGTCCACCACATGGGAGTTGCCTTGGAAGTCACTGGTTACTGTTTCATTGTTAATGTAATAGCTATTACAGGGAGGGTTAGCTTGCCTTCTTTGCTCTGTCCCACTTCCCTAGGGGATTCAGCACATGCTATTCTGGTCAAGTTGCCCAGATCTGGTATCCTGACCAGATGCGACCGTCCAAAGCAGACAGTTGGCTTAGACTACACCCGCCAGTCTTTCTCAGAGATTTTCCCCATTGTGGAGGGAGCCATGTGGTGACCTACCCATAGCCATTAGCACCATTTTCTGCCATGGGGGAAAAACATGAGCAAGAGACTGGCCCAGAGTTCTGAACTCACTTTGTCAAGGAAACCTTCCTCAGGTGTAACGAGGATCAGTATCCTCTAAGTGTGTCCTGTTGCTGAAGCAGTTTCATGTTAGTTAATTCCTTGAGATTAGGTGTCTATGTAGAGTGAAGCACCTCACTGCCCTTAGCAGAGCTTGACAGATCGCTTGATGTTTAGGAAGGTCCCAAAGTCTTGTGCAAATAGCCCACTAAGATGAATACCTAGTCTGTGTGTCAGCATGCCATTCTGTGTCCTGCTCAAGAGAGCCCCACCCCCACCAGGTTTCCTGCTGCCCTACCCCTCTTCCACCTCATGGAAGGAGGCTGCCTCCACTGTTCTATGCTGAGAAATATGCCCAATACTGTTACTGTGGGAGGAGAGAGGAAGCACATTAGTTGTTTGATTTGGTTTTAACAAAGTTATGCTAAATAGTTTAGTCTGGGCTGGAAATGCTGACCTGAAACACTGTCCTTCTGCTTCTGTGTCAGCCTTCTGGGCACTGGGATGACAGGTGTGTGCTACCATGCTCAGCAGGAGTCTATGCTTTTGTTTGTTTGCTTTTATACACTCTTCATCCTGTTGTCCAGGCTGTCCTTGAATTCATAGCAGTTCTCCTGCCTCAGCCTTCTAAGTGTTGGAGTTACAGGTGAGACCCACCATGCTTTGCTCCACTGGTTTTGAGAACCAAAAGCTCAGGTTTTCATTGTCCAGACATATGGTGCTGTCAGGACCAGGGGTGACTTCTGGGGAAGCAGCTGAGCCAGAGTCCTTCAGCCAGTGCCAGAGATGTATCCCAGGGGCTGGACTTGTCCCTCCTGCCTCCTTCTGTTTGGTGACTTTTGGTGCAAATCACAGGACTTTATGCTGCAGGGTTTTGCTTGCTGTCTCTCTCTTGGGCTCCGGCTAGCCCCGCTCAAACACACAGTCTGGAACCCAGACCTGAGTCAGACCCTTCCTTATTGCTCCCAGCAGAGGAACCAGACCTGTACTGCTCTGCCACATGTCTGGCTCCTGATCAGGCTCAAGTTGCAACCACCCAAACAGGCAGCAGGAAAAAGGATCTTCCTGAGTGGCCTACAGGAGCTGAAAACAAGGTTGTGTATCCACAGCTTCCCCATCCATAGAGGCTATACCAGCAAGTCACATGGGTCCTCTGAGAAGGGTTGGACACCTACAGAAAACAGCTCTAATACCACCTCCACTCTGCATATGCATGCTTTATCTGTTCCCTGAATCCCTTCTACCCCAAAGAAAACACAGAGATGGTACTGGAGGAAGGAAGGAGGCAGTCAGAATGACCCTAAGGGAGTATGTGGGCCCTGGTCTGACACACCTAGTGCTGTGTGACCCTGAGAAAGTAAACCCAGCCTCTCTGGAAGGCTTGGTGCTGACATCTGTAGAGGGATAGCATGTTGCTGCTATGTGTGGAAGGCTTGTTGTCCTCCCCATGCTCAGCCAGCACTGCCTATCTATCACCTCATAGTGACCCTGGTCTGTAGTAACCAGAAGAGTAAGCTGAGCAGAAACAGTTCTCAGGCCAGGTGAGTAACAACTTTTCACTGTATCCGGAGGAGACTGCTGCATTCCTGCAGGTGTTTCCTTTTTGGCAGGGAAGCAAAAGTAATATCTTGGGCCAGAGCTGAGAAGAAATGAATACCTCTACTGAGATGTTCCCCTAGGGGAGCAGAGCAGAAGAAATGGATACTTCTGTAGTGATACTTAGTTTGTGTTTTAACCAATAAAGCTTGCCTGAAGATCAGAGTGCAGAGCTAAGCCCCTATAGGTCAGGCAGTGGTGGCACACACTCCCAGAACTCAGGAGACAGCGGCAGATGGATCTCTGTGAGTTCAAGGCCACTCAGGGATACACAAGATTGAATCTGTCTGAAAGAGAAATAGACCACAGACAAAGGTGACTCTAGCACTTATGATCACATGCCTTTAATCCCAGCACAGGGAGGTGGAGACAGGAGGGATACAGCTGGGAGGAGAGAAGAATGTAGGCTGGGAAGGGACAGATCTCAGGACAGTCTGAGGAGACAGTCTAAGGACAGGATTGCCCCTTTTGTTTGAACATTGGTAGAGGTAAAACATCTCTTTAGTGACTGGTAGCAATGTTCTGACCTTTCAGCTTTCACCTCCTAATATGTGACTCTGGACTTTATTTATTAAGAATAATTATAATTTGTGCTGTAAACTTCTGCTGGGAAGCTCCCTTGGAAGGGTGGAGCAGAGCTCAGCTGTACCAGTGCTCTCTAAGAGAGCTGCAGGATCTCTACATCTGATGGGGAGACCATGCCTCACCATACCCCAGATTTAGGTATAGCCTGACTTCCCAACAAGTCAGGATACCTTTTTTCTCACAGCTGTAGGTGGCAAGGATACCTCCCTTCACTGCTGTAGGTATAGCCTAACTTTCCAACAAGGCAGGATACTGTTCCCTCATATCTGTAACACTTGCAGGTATAGTCTTACTTCCCAACAAGTCAGTGTACCTTTCCCTCTGGAGCTGTAACACTTGTATTCTGTACCTGCTGAATGTTCCAGAAGCCATAGCCAGGTGTTCATAGTCAGCCATCAGTCTTGCCATGATGTCAGCCACCTCCACGAATAGCTAGGCCAAAACATCTGTGGTGTGTAACCCCTTGGGAGTCTAGGGAAGGGAAGTGTGGATGGGACATGTGGGAAGGAATCAGACTAGGCAAGGTAGGCACTGCCTAAGAGATCTGTACCAGCAAGAAAAGGGGCATCATGAGGGAGATTCAAAGAGCTCACACACTCCAAGGCTGGAGAGACCAGGACAAGAGGATCTGGCTATGGCTTGCTTTCCTTCTTCAGGTGGCTGCCTGTGAAAAGTCAGCAGGCTCTGAGCTCTGCTGTTTGAAAAGCCAGCTCTTCCAGGTCCCTATTTTTCACCTCAGAGACATCTGACGTAGGAATAGGAATATGGCCTTAGTTTCCTTCTAAGCCGTCTCTATTGCATCATGTGTAGAGGGTTAGTGCCAGGGTAGCTTCCACAATGTGCACTCATGAGTTCCAGGAAAGTATCCTCAGTGGCTTGACCTGTCAGTGGTATGTGGTAGCCCAATGGTGCCTCTAACTAGATAACAAATGCATTTTCCAAGCCCCCTGAGATGAGTCATCACTCCTGCAAGAACTGTC